ACATGAGGGATTGAACCCTGGTCCCTAGGTCTACCTTAGCAGGTGCCTTAATCCACTGAGCTATCTGGCCGGCCCTGTTATCATTTCTTATCTATATAATAATTTATCTTTCATATATGACCACGACTGTTAGGCAGGTAATTAGATATTAGCAGGCCTCAGGAACAAAAGGGAAGCCCAAAAAAGCAAGCTTTGGCAATTACAGTTAAACAAAGAAACAAAGACTTTAATGTATAACACATTGATAATCATATATCAGATGTCAAATCCAAAGACATGACCTCTATTTCTAAAACAGGGCCTTCAGCATTCCTGGCCACCATAACCTACAGCCCATGATGTCAGGAAAGGAAATATTCAGAAGCTTACTACATGACTAAAGTCCCTGAGTGAATACTAACTATTTAAAAAGGACAGGAAGTTATTTTGCTATTCTAAAGTATTTTCAAAGTAAAATGCTGATAAGCTTCAAAACCATCCTACTTCCTGAGCCCAGAGTCACTCTTGTGTACATAAAAAGATATCCAGGATCACACTGATGTGCATGGCCCCTGGGACTACTTCTCACTTGAAAGGGTAATTCTGTGTCTACAGTAAAGTCTACCACAACATCTGCATGACCACCTATGTGTCTTGACTGAATTCTTTCATCAAGGACACAAAAGATTCAAAGAGATTTAAAAGGAGAGCAAGTTCCTTGGGGTGTCAGAACTGGGCTTCCAAGTAATTACAATGAAAACATAAAATTGATAGCTAATATCCTCCCCCCCCCCTTCTGACTTTGCCCAGAAGCTAGGAAGCTAAAAATTAAACACCTATATGTAAAACATGGAAGGTATAATTCAGACAGAGGGCATGATGACTTTTGCAAAAATGCACATAAAGGTACTTCAGTTTTGTACAGTGCCAGCCTCCAACTACCAGTTCTGTAAGTGTTCAGAGGCAGAACACAAGACATTTGTATTGTCACCACTACTGCTGTCGAGTAGAAGCAAAGGGTCATAGCATCTTCTCTCAAATCCCTGAATTACAACTTGAATGGCATATGTTCCTAGAAGCAGCAGCTGCACTGACAGGCTTCTGGTATCCTAGCTTTCTGATTATACTTGGAGTTAGCTCT